GAGCCCACCTGGGCACGAGCCCACCCGGCGCCGGCCCACCCGGCACCACTCCACGGGGCGCCGCGGGCACGCCTCTGGGGAGCGGTGGCTGATTGCACGTGTCCTCGTTGCTCTTCCTCCCCGCAGCTCCACTTTTAACACCAAAACGTTATTAGCGATGTCGCGTCTGAAATGTGGGTCACTTTGTTAATTAGGGACAGCGGGCGGGGGGGACCGGTGTGGGCCTGTCTCATCAGAGCAGGTGATTGCAGCGCGAAGCGGATCTGGCTCTGCGGAGCAGCGACCCTGACGGGGGTGGCCCATTTCAGACAACGACCTGCCACGTGGGCGCGCGCGGGAAGCCTTCGGGGACAGGGGGAAATGTTCAGGCAACTGCAGCTCATCGGGAGCAAAATCGTGATCGAAAATCACGCCCTGGGCCCCGGTGCCCTCCATGCCCCCACGGTGCCACCCACGCACCACATCAGCCCCTCTAGGGGTCTTGGCGTGGCGTGGCGTGGCGTGGGCCGGGGTCCCCCGGTGGTGCGGCCGGCGGAGAGGGTTCAGCCCTCGCAGGAGTGACCCTGACGACGACGACGAGCCAGCCCACCTCGCGCGGCCACCGACGCGGCCCGAGTACCGACTCAAGGACCCCACGGACGACACACTAGCCCACCTTCCTCAACAGTCCTGCTGTCCCCACACTACAGGGGTGAGGGGAAACAGGCCGGGCACTGACGGGCGGGGGCGGCCGCCCTCGGCCGCATCCCTGCTCTTCCCCCGACGCCGGGGCGCCAGGGCCTAGACTTCCGTGTCCGCGTGTCCTGAGGGAAGCTGCACTTTGGAAGGGCTTGCAGAACGATTTGGCAGTCCTATGAGTCATGCAAACTGGGTCTGGGCCACGGTCAAAAGTCACCTTCTGAGCAAGGCAAACAGAAAAATACATAATTACTGTATTCTTTTTACTTCTTTTACTGGTTTTTCACTTGTGCCATATGATTTCCAGAATTCTGCCTATCTTGGTAGGAATTCATGGGTTGGCTCCATCATCAAAAGGGAAGAATGGGGTGAAACAATCTGATTAAGGTAAAGATCTACAATATAAACTCTAAGTTAACCAATAAAAGTTATAGATATAAGCCAGAGAGCAGACAGTCGAGGAGTTAAATAATAATTGACTCAAAAGGCCCAGAGAAAAGGGGTGAGAACAAATGAGACTGGGGAAGAAGCCAGACACTGGCATGGTAAATTAAAACCCAGCACATCAATGATCACGTTAACCGTGAACGGGTAAACACTCAATGAGAAGACGGGGATCGGACCAGAAAATTCACAAATCCAGGTGAAGCAGACAAGTTCCTCGAAGAACACAAATTCCCAGAATTTAATCAAGAAAAAACAGCGCCGACAGCTCTTAACTGCATACACTTAAGGCTGAACTGTAGGCACACGTATTTCTCTGGGGACATTTTATCTAACGTTGAAGGAAAAAATAACACTAATTCTATATGAACTCCCAGAAAAATCACAACGAAGGAATATTTTCCAATTCAATCTGTGAAGCAGGATTACAAAGTCAGGCAAGTAATAAAAACAGCAACACCCACCATGGTCACGGGATTAACATTTTAGCAGACCAAATGCAATTATATAAGAGGAATAATGGCTCGTAGCTGAGAAGGATGTATCCCAAGAATTTAAAGGTGGTTTAGTATTTGAAAATTAGCCACTGCAATCTAGCACATTAACATTGAAAAATAAAAACCATGTAAATATCTCAACAGATACAAAGGCAGCCACCAAATCCATATCCAAAGCTGACAGAATCTCTCAAAACAGAAGAGGAGAAACTTCCTCAAGCTGATGTAGGCACTTAAGGAAAAAAACTGTGAACATCTTACCTAAATTTGAAAATCTGACTTCACCCCTAAGAGAAAAAATGAGGTAAGAAAGTCTGTTCTGCCAGTCCTGTTAATGCTGTAGTAGACATTCTAGCCAGTGTAATGGAGCAGGGGGAGGAAAAACAAAACAAAACTGTCACTGGATAAGCCGGGAAACTTATGAAAATACAGAATGAAAACAATTTTAAAAAATGTTAAAGGAGACCTATTCATATGCGTGGTGGGTGGATGTTCATGTTCCTGTTTCAAATGTTTACCAGTTTCATTTTTCTCCATTGATCGTTCAAGGAAAAAATCTTCCTGTCTTCAATTCTTACAGAATAAATGGACTCCCAGTTAATAAAAGTGTCACTCGGCAGAGACGTAAGAGCTGGCAGTTAGCGTCTGAGAACGGCTGGATCTTAAGAGATTGGTGTGTGCTTCATGGTAGTTTAGTTCCGTAAGAAGAGAATTCAGAGACACTGTAGTGACAGTTTGAATCAGAGAAACAACATGACCGAGGGCTGATGTGTGTTTACATGTCCTGAAATGACCTGGGCCAGTGCCTTAAATTTAAAATTAAAATGTAACCATAAATCTGTCCATAACTTTTAGAGCCTAAGTGTCAAGCAGAAAGTAAACTCAAAGAAGTACCACCTGAGTTTTGGATCAGAAAGTCTAAGACCTGCAGGAGACCCCACTGCAGACTCTCACAGAGCACAGAGAGCTCTGCGGGCCGTGGTCACCGCCCTGCCGGAAGCTGGCGTCCCCTTGGGCACTCTAAAGAAGCCTGATGCTCACGCCACCGTCTGGAAAGACTAACAGGAGGGGCAAGTGGGGAGCCGACACCCGCAGTTTCTTCTTTCGGTGTCAGTATTCTAACAGCTGTAAGATGGTTCTAGTACTCGCATCACTGCACAAACCCCTCCAGCGCCGTCCACGCCGCTGCGGAGGGCCGGGCTTTCTCCTTTCGGGTTGCTGGGTGATATCCCGTCATGTAAATAAACCCAGTCATCCACCATTTGGGGGGCTTCCATAGCTCACCTACTGCAAATGGTCCTTCAGTAAACAGGGGTGCAGGCGTCCTTTTGACTTAATGACTCCGTGTCCTCTGGGGAGACCCCAGGAGCGGGACTGCGGCAGTGTGAGGAACCCCCACACAGCTTTCTAGAGTGGTTGGACCAGGTTGCGGTCCCACCCAGTGCGGGGGAGTTGCTTTTTCTCCACATTCAGAAAGAAAAAGAAAATGATCGAATGGTCTCAGAGGAGGAACGCAGAGGAACCAAATAGTCATCAGGAAAAAAAAAAAAAAACAGTAAAACTACAGTAAAGAAAAAATCAAAATCACCAGGCAACGACAGCTCAGCCGCGTCCTGCAGGGAGGGGCGGGGGGGGAGGGGCGCGGGGCGGTGCGGGGCGGTGCGGGGGACCGCACGCTGCGCTAAAGTGAAGGGCGAGGTGGCAAATATACATTTTTAATTTTAAAAATCAAGGGGACGAAGGTGACTAATACACAATCAAGTTTGAGGACGCAATTTTAGGGCAAAACCTGATCATGCTTCCGCGAGCAAATCAGACACTTGATGCAGAGTCGTAACAGGCTGCTCTAAGTCCCCAAATGCCTCGATTAAGTGAATTAAGGGAAGAATCTTGCAATGACAGTCTCCAAAATGCCATTTTTGCAAAGGGATAGAAGACAGAACTTCAAGTGCTGAAACACTAAAAATACACGACTTGCGGGGAGAAAGGAAAGAGGTGGCATCTAATTTGCAGCTTCCTGCAAGGTGACTCATGAACACCGAGTTCACCGACCAGCCCAAACCAGCCCAAACCAGCCCAAACCAGGCGGCTGTGCCACCGACACCGCAGCAGCCCGGCGGCCGGACCTGGACCCGCGGGCAGTTGCGCGGGGCGGGGAGCCCCTCGGCCGGCCACTCCCGCCCCAGTCACACCCCCACCTTCGCCTTCCAGAGCCCTGCGACCGGGCCTGGCACCCCGCGAGGGGCGGGGACGGCACAGCAGAGGCCCTAAGCGGCAGGACCCCCACGAAGCTGGCCGGCGGGTCCCGCCCGCGGCTCTGGCGCTGCTGCGCCCACGCCCGCACCCAAGTGTGCAGACAAGGCCCCCCGCTCCCTCGGGCTTCGGCGGGGCCAGAACAAGCGGCCAAAGTGGAGGGACGCTGGGGGCCCGACGGGTCTGGCGTCACGGCCAGAGACCCGGGCCGGGGACTCGACTTACCTTATGGCACATGTAGGATCCACCCTTCTTCACCCGGTCCTTCCCGGAAGGGGGTCCTCTCTGCGGAGAGGAGAAGGGGCTCGGCAGTGCTGGCAGGGGCGGCCCGGGCGGGCGACCTCCCCGCGCCCCAGGCGACGCCCCTCCGGGGAGAGCGCCAGGAGGCGCAGCTGTGCCCGGCCCCGGGTGCAGGCCGACCCGCACGGCGCCGGCGCCAAGCCAGAGGCCGCGGCCATGAGGGGTGACGGAGTCGCTCCGCATCCAGCTTGTGGAACTTGAGTCGGGTTTACTGAGACGAAGACACTCGCCGTTCACAGCTACTTTTCCCTCTTGTGAACACTGTAAATGTTTGGCTCGGATTCGGGAGGTTTGACTGACTCACAACAAACTTTTTCGCCCTTTCGTCTTTTTGAATAGGAGGCTCAGGGTCTTTATTGCATTTCTGGCAGGGAGAAGCAGGCGAGGGCC